CCCCAAAACTCAGAGCTGGGTGCCTGGCCAGCACTGGCCGCCCAGCCAGTGCTTTGCTCTTGCTGGGGCTGAGCTCCAGCACTTCTTTCCTTCTTTCAATAAAAACTAAGCAATGGTGGGGGGGAAGTCATCAGGGCCTGGAGGTGAATGGGGAGAGCTGTGGGAGTCAGGGGTGATTGGGGGATGGGGCGCCTGTGGGGGCCAGAGGCGCCAAAATACAAGTTCACCCAGACCACTATTTCCCCTAAAGCTGGGTCTGCCCAGAGGTTCCATCTCAGGAGGCAGTAAGGCCACATGGCCTTCCCTGAAGGAAGAGTGAGACCCTGGGGGTCTGGCATGTTGAAGGGGTTCATCTAAGAGACTGATCCTGAGGATCTGTGACTGGGAGTAAACTCCTCCACTACCCCACTCATCATTCTTCCCTGCTGGCTCCTGTTAGATGAATTGTGATGCTGTAGTGAAGGGGATGTATTTGGCCCCTTGGAGAGGAAAATGCATCCCTATGGGAAATCCCTCATTCGATATGGTTAGTGGAAGAGCTCAACCGGCGAGCCCCACTTAGATGATGAACCATTTTACTAGTTCAAGCCACTTGATCAGTGTACAGTAGCTGAATACTCTCTCTCTCTCTCCTGTGTTCACAGGATAGTTTGTAAATGTTCACTACCTAATTTAAAAAATAATAATCCAAGCTTTCCAGGGGCACCCACCACATTTATTTACAGTTAAAATATCAACAATATTTGGAGGGTCAAGAGGCTGAGACTGAGATCAGAAGAGAGCGAACTAGCCAGTGAAACTTCATTGAGGTTGAGGGGGTGGCTGTGGAGGAGAATGATTTTAGGAAAGTGTACTCATTCTCCTGCCTGAGCTGAGACCATGTGTCTAGTGCAGTCTTGACATGGTGTCCGAAGCTCAAATAATCTCTTACCAGTGTCTGTTTTTATGCAGTTATTGGGTTTTGTAAAGGTCAGGGAGCTGGGATGAACAGGTGGAATGTGGATTTGTTTGAGGTGAGGGTAGAATACCAAGCTCCAAAGTCAATGAAGAATGGAACAACAGGCTGCAGAGTGGGTGGGTGTAAGTTAAATTATATTCATGGACTTCACTTCCCAGGAAGCAAGATTACAAATGGAAATCTTCATCTGTCTATTCTGCTGAAGTGTTGCGCAATATTACAGCTTTAAAAAGAGAGTGGCTCAGAAGGGAATAGTAACATCTATTTGGCCACAGAATAAGGGGTTGTCTCTCTTTGCCTGTCTCCATAGCACTGAAGCACTTAAAGGAGAGGAAAGTGATCAGGAACAGTCAACATGGATTCACCAAGGGCAAGTCATGCCTGACTAATCTAATTGCCTTCTATGACGAGATAGCTGGTTCTGTGGATAAGGGGAAAGCGGTGGATGTGTTGTTCCTTGACTTTAGCAAAGCTTTTGACACGGTCTCCCACAGTATTCTTGCCAGCAAGTTAAGGAAGTATGGGCTGGATGAATGGACTATAAGGTGGATAGAAAGTTGGCTAGATTGTCGGGCTCAACGGGTAGTGATCAATGGCTCCATGTCTAGTTGGCAGCCGGTATCAAGTGGAGGGCCCCAAGGGTCGGTCCTCGATCTGGTTTTGTTCAATATCTTCATAAATGATCTGGAGGATGGTGTGCATTGCACCCTCTGCAAGTTTGCAGATTACACTAAACTGGGAGGAGAGGTAGATATGCTGGAGGGTAGGGATAGGATACAGAGAGCCCTAGACAAATTAGAGGATTGGGCCAAAAGAAATCTGATGAGGTTCCACAAGGACAAGTGCAGAGTCCTGCACTTAGGACGGAAGAATCCCACGCACCGCTACAGACTAGGGACCGAATGGCTCGGCAGCGGTTCTGCAGAAAAGGACCTAGGGGTGACAGTGGACGAGAAGCTGGATATGAGTCAGCAGTGTGCCCTTGTTGCCAAGAAGGCCAATGGCATTTTGGGATGTGTACGTAGGGGCATTACCAGCAGATCGAGGGACGTGATCGTTCCCCTCTATTCGACATTGGTGAGGCCTCCTCTGGAGTACTGTGTCCAGTTTTGGGCCCCACACTACAAGAAGGATGTGGAAAAATTGGAAAGAGTCCAGCGGAGGGCAACAAAAATGATTAGGGGACTGGAACACATGACTTATGAGGAGAGGCTGAGGGAACTGGGATTGTTTAGTCTGCGGAAGAGAAGAATGAGGGGGGATTTGATAGCTGTTTTCAACTACTTGAAAGGGGGTTCCAAAGAGGATGGATCTAGACTGTTCTCAGTGGTAGCTGATGACAGAACAAAGAGTAATGGTTTCAAGTTGCAGTGGGGGAGGTTTAGATTGGATATTAGGAAAAACTTTTTCACTAGGAGGGTGGTGAAACACTGGAATGCTTTACCTCGGGAGGTGGTGGAATCTCCTTCCTTAGATTATTTTTAAGGTCAGGCTTGACAAAGCCTTGGCTGGGATGATTTAATTAGGGATTGGTCCTGCTTTGAGCAGGGGGTTGGATTAGATGACCTCCTGAGGTCCCTTCCAACCCTGATATTCTATGATTCCTTCCCCCACCCCCCCGCCTTTTTAAATGTTTTGAATAGTGTTGCAAGTATGGTTCCTGCTGCATGAGTGATTGTTTATTGGATATAATTATTATTGCCCAACTCCAGGTCATTATCCAAATATTGGTTTTGGTTTAATAGAACAAACCTGCCCAAAGGCAGACTTTTCCGCGTTTGATCTTGCACTCAGTGTCTGTTCAGTGGACTGGGGGGGGTGGGGGTGGCATGGGCTAAGCCTTTTTCAATCCCTTTAACTCTATGTAAACTGTGTCCTCTTACACTGTATTTTAGCCCACGTATTAATTTTGCAAATATGGATTGTTGACAGAGCTACAGAATGCTTTTCAGAGCTACCCAGTTTGTTCCTTCCCAAGTCTGAGATCAAGGAAGGGTTGTTGCATAAAATGCAGTATCTGTTCACTGCAATTGACTTTTTAACATCACTCATTTGTTTTAAGTTTGTTTTTTAAAGTACATTTTGTCCTGAGTTAACAGCATTGGAGGCTGAAAGCAACTCTTCAGAGCAGGTACAGTCTCAACCCCTTTTGTGGAAAGACTCTCTGTGGATGAGAGGGGTGGTTATTTACATATCCATTAGGTGCTTGGCCTCTCTGCTGAGACTGCTGATGAGCAGTAGGGTAGCTAACTGTAGCAATGTGTATTTGTGCTGTGTCCAGGATTTTCTGTGAAGTGCATTGAGATTAGAAAATCATTTGGTATTGGCTACCAAATGGGTATGGCTGATTTGGTTATTAATCTGTATTTAAAGTGGGCCTATCCACAGGTCTGGGTGTCCATACAAACTGCATTGCTGAGAGTTATACAGCAACCCTGACTGGAACAGTGTCTGGCCAGGCAGCATTACCTGCTGTGCCTGGGAAAAGAGGGCACTTATTAAGGCTGATAAGGGAACTCTGCCTTTCTGAATACTTTTTATCAAATACTTCAGGAATCACCCCCAAACTTACAATTCTATGGATGCATCTGATGAAGTGAGCTGTGGCTCATGAAAGCTTATGCTCAAATAAATTTGTTAGTCTGTAAGGTGCCGCAAGTACTCCAATTTTACTGAGAGCATTTAGGACAGTGTGCAGAATTTTATAAGGGTGGGTGGCAGCATGCAGGGCATGCGAGATCTGGCAGGTCTGGAGTAGACCTGTGGAGTTTCATATGTAAATTTTACAGAGCTGAGAAGACTGTTGTCCTAAGGCTTCACTGCAGCTATCTAAATGTGACCTTTAATGACTAAACAATGACTGTGGATGTCAGTTGAGTATACATTGCACATGAATTGTACAAAACAGCTCAAAATATCAATATTGAGGGATTGGGCTTTCTAAGACCTTTTAATGATGTAAAAGACCCCCATCCCATTAATTTAAAGCTTGACTGTTTTCCTGTGACTTGTTTGTCCTGAAAAGCAGTGCCCTGAAACCAGCCAAAGTTTATAATAACCCCTCCTCCTAGACTAAAAGTTGAGCTGTTGGTTGGGCTTGATAGCATCTGTGTCAGGCTTGGCTGCAGCATACATACGTTTTTGAAGCTGCAGGTCGGTAATAAATTGAATGTCACAGTGCAGTGGCCCAATGGTAATAACTCTTCAGGTCCCTGCACAGCACCGGAATGTGCTCCTCTTCCTTCTTACACTTCTGCATCAACAGAATCTGTAATCAAGGCAGATAGATCCTGCTGGCTTTCACAGTTTCTTTCTGTGACTGTAAAATGTAAAAGTCTTGCTCCATTGAGCACAAAAATATGATTTTAAACATCATTAAAACATGAGTTCCTGCTATCTAAGCCCTCTCCTCCTAGCATGTGTGCACACATATACACAGTCTCTCCCCAGATATAGTATGGCATCAGTAGAATAGACAGAGCAAATGGGCAGTGAAATAGATTCCACAAGGGGAGGAGATCCAGACATCATTACAAAGATTCAGGAGCAGGATAGAGCATAGCTGTCCCAAATGTATCTTCATGATTTACGGGTCTTGCCTGGTCTGACTCTCTGATAAATTCTCTCCCCTCAGCCCTAACAAGCTGTTATGATTCAAGGATTATTATATTCTATCATACAGGAAGGATTTTGGTCTTTTGGGGCCTTTCTGTGCTGACAGTTTTGTAGTTTATCATTTTTCAAACTCGTGTCTTAAAGAGTGAAAGTGAAAAACACACTTTTGCTCAGAGGGCGTCTAATTGCAAATGTTAAATACAGGGATAGCTGTCATGCTTGCCTAATCGAGGGCTTCTGATGGAGCTGAACCAATGTTAGCCGTTTGGATATCTTGTAGTATCTATATGGACATTAAAAATTAAGAATTTTTTGAGGCAGCATAAAATAAACTGAATACATCACTGAGTTAAACATACTGTACTGACTGTATTACTCTGATTTATATGTAATTCAAACTTGCATTTAAAAAAAAAATTATCTGAAGCTGTTGTAGAGTATCCTGTCTGCCACAGTGGAGCACTGCAGAATCCAGGGGCCTTGCCACAGGATTTAGGTCAAGCTTGCTGCGGAGCACAGAGGACCTGGGGTACAGTCCATCTTCCTGAAATACTTGACTTACCTCTCAGCTGCTTTGCTCATCTGTTTCTAGCTCTCTTCTCACCATGTGTGGGGTTTTTTTTGTTTTTGGGGGGTGAATTTCATATGCCGGTGCTTGGAATAGTTATTGTCTCATGTTTCATTGTGCGTAAAATGTTAGATATTTGATGCTGCAGGCTTCAAATGCAAACTGGTTCTTCATTGCACCCAGGTCCTGCTTCCTTAGTTCATACTGGCAACCACTGATATGTGATTGATATGTTTTGAGCTCTTGCATATTGTCTGGCATCACACAGGAGTAATTAATTGAAAATCAGTTGGACAGATGTTTCTTAACTTTCCCCTCTGAATCTCTTCAGCAATTGGTCTGTGCAATGCAAACCACATTCTAGTGATAAAGCTGTGTGTGTCATTATGTCAGCATGTGAGAGAGGAAAGTGAATACATGCTATGCTGCCCCTTGCCAAACACAGGCAGACACAAAGTTCCTTGTTTGGTGGGACATGTTCACTAACGGATCCTTAAAAGGTGAAGGAGGGAGTTGCTATTTTGCTTAGTACTTGGCAATGCATGAAATGGTGTCACAGGAAAGTATAACCAAAGTCTGGTTGAGTTGAGGGTTTGGCATGGTGTTTGATGGGAAAATAATTGCAGTTACTTTCCAGTGTCTGCATATAAGCTTCCCTTTTGCCATACTTACAGGGCGGGCCCTGCTACCTCTTGGCCTGAATTGGGGGTTGCAGATGGCTGCTCATATACAGTCATTGCACAATGCTCCTGTGCAAATGGAATTTATCTTAAATCTCTGCCCTTCCCGCAAAATAAACCCCCATTAGTTTGCCAGATTCCTTAGAGATGCCAAAAAGACTTGGTCCTCTCTCTGTTTTCCTAATAATGGCATGTGTTTACCCAACACAACACAAAGTTTCTAAAGAGCATAGATGGGCCCCAAAGTGGTTAGCCATTTAAAGTGCGGCACATCTTATTGCAGGTGTTAGAACCTGTAGCTCCCTGTTCACTCTTGGATGATCATAGCAACAATCTTGCTGTGGATTAATTTCAAACGGGTTTCCCAAAAAGATCACTGTATCCTTATAACTCTTTTACACCTCTACTCAGTTTTAAGTCTAGCCACACTATAGATCCTTGCTATGGTATAACTGTGTGTACGAGCACAGTTCTTGCACAATATGAAGTTGTGCACAGATGAATAATAAAAAAAAATAAAAATCAGTGTTTGTGTAGGTCTTCTTGTGGGGTTGCAGCCCACAGAGTTGACAGAGAGAAGAAATGCAGTGGAACAGATATCATTTTGGGCAGGTCTTCCTGACAACACAGCTGATGTCCTCATGCTGTCCTACAGTGATGAACAGTGAACTACAGGTTCCAACAAATGTAAAAGGAAAGGAAATGTGTCCCAACACATGTAGTAAACAGATTTAGGGCCTGGGTCTCTTCTCTCTCTAAACATTGCTGTGGGGCAACCACATCACTTCGCTAATAGACAAACCTAGAGAGAGGAGTTGTCAACATCAAGTTTTGTTTACACACAATACTTTTTATTTGTGGTTCGTTGTTAATAGTCCTGTCAACAAGTTATTTTATTTCATGATTATGCCGTTTTCATTTGCTCTGTTAACTAGTGAGCCACGCTGTAAATATCCCCATGCTTTGTTAGGGTTTTCTGATCCTGAGTTGATATTCCTATTGTGACTTTCAATGAGCCTCAAAGAAAGTAACCTGTGGGAGAGTTGCATGTTTGATATGTTTCGTTATCCCTGTGAAACCATCATGCTTAAACCTGTCTTCTGAGTTCCTAGTTGCATGCAATCGTTATCTCATATAGATCTTGCCTTTATTCTAGGACTGAATTTGCCCTAAAAGAAATCATGTCATCTGGAGGAGCTGAAGATGATATCCCTCAGGGAGAGAGGAAAACGGTCACAGACTTTTGTTACCTACTGGATAAATCTAAACAGCTCTTCAATGGCTTAAGGTTAGTGGATTTGTAGTGCTACACAAGTGAACAGCAAATTACCCTCTTTCTCCTTAGGGACAACATTGTAACCCAGATGTTGGTGCATGAACAATGCTGAAGTTTGTACAGTATACAGTGCGTACAGCAAACCAGAAGTAAATGGTAATTTCTTGTTTTAAAACAAAATAATTAAAATGTTTATGTTGGGGTAGGGAAAGGATTGTGCATACACATGTATTATGGTTTTGCATACATTTTTGTTCCGAGTTGCAGGAGCTGAGACCAGTTCCTATATAAGGCCACTTTATCTCTTTTATTGTTGTAAGAATTCTTTTCCAGATTCCTACAACAGTGCGCACTCTGGAGTGCTGCACAGCCATTTCTTGGGCTTCTGAGAAGAAGTTAGATCTGTGGAAGGCTACTGCATGTAGTTGGGTCCATTATTTTAGATCTCCGTTTACACTGGGCATCTGATGGTTGAAGACTAAAGGCCGTAGTTTTTCTTGTATTATAGTAGGGCTTAGGACCTGCAGCAAAGAATAAGGGCCCAACTGCACAAGGCACTGTGTAGACAAATTGCAAAGAAGACAGTCCCTGTATTCACTTGTGAGCTGATGCAATTTGTACACGGCTGTAAGCCACTGCTAGTCTATCATAGCATAACTATACAGAACAAATTAGTGTGGTTGCATTGATGTGATGTAAATGTTACTGATGTAGGACTACAGAACTAAAGTGGGAATGTGTTAACCTTCCCCTCCAATGGCCTATTGTTAAGTAAGACAGCCTATAAACTTGCATCCACAGATTCCTTTGCAGAAATCTGTGTGGCTACTTGGGTTTCTTGTGTGTTGCCAGGAATGGAAATGACTGACAGTCTGTGGATGGAGATGGGATTCTGTTCTTTCCTGCTATATAACAAGTGTCTTTGTGAGTGGGCTTCCTGAATTGACAGTTATAAAACTGAACTAAGAAATACTGACACTTGTGGGCTCCTCTCTCCAGTTCTAGTTCTTTATATTCAGGGACATTATTTTTTTCCATTCCCTTTATATTTAATCTCCTTATAAAAGCAAAGATTGCACGGGGGCGGAGGGGTTGAGTAACTGCGTTCCTTACCTTTGAATTTATTATTGGTGTTGGGGGTGTGTTGTTTTTTTGTTTTTTTGTTTTTTTTGGTATTTGCTTAGATTACCCTGCCCGCAAGGAGCTTACTTTCATCTCCTCTCCGTTCTCTACCTTGCCAAATGTGTTGTTGGAGCTCAACAAATGAAGAATAACTTGGTTAGTTCAAAAATGCACACTGCCTAAGAAGCTACTAAGCTGCAGATCCAATTTCCATGTGCAGCACTTACGGTTTTCTATAGTGCCCATCTGGGTAAGTGTGCCTAAAACTTGCTGGTGTGGAAATTCCACATGCCTGATTGTTGACTGACCCCAGGGTTCAGAACACTTTTAAAGGTGCAGGCAAATTCTAGGAGTCTAGCCTGACTAAAGAGACTCATAACAATTGGTTTCAGAGGAACAGCCGTGTTAGTCTGTATTCGCAAAAAGAAAAGGAGTACTTGTGGCACCTTAGAGACTAACCAATTTATTTGAGCATGAGCTTTCGTGAGCTACAGCTCACTTCATCAGATGTTTACCGTAAACATCTGATGAAGTGAGCTGTAGCTCACGAAAGCTCATGCTCAAATAAATTGGTTAGTCTCTAAGGTGCCACAAGTACTCCTTTTCTTTTTTCATAACAATTGTGCGCTTTCACTTGATTACCATGCACATTGTAGGGAGAGGGGTCACTTTGGATGAGCTATTACCAGCAGGAGAGTGAGTTTGTGTGTGTATGGGGGTGGGGGGGTGAGAACACCTGGATTTGTGCTGGAAATGGCCCACCTTGATTATCATACACATTGTGAAGAGAGTGGTCACTTTGGATAAGCTATTACCAGCAGGAGAGTGAGTTTGTGTGTGTGGTTTTTGGAGGGGGGGGGGGGGTGAGGGGAGTGAGAGAGAACCTGGATTTGTGCAGGAAATGGCCCACCTTGATTATCATACACATTGTGAAGAGAGTGGTCACTTTGGATGGGCTATTACCAGCAGGAGAGTGAGTTTGTGTGGGGGGGGGCAGCGGTGGGGGGTGAGGGAGTGAGAGAACCTGGATTTGTGCAGGGAATGGCCCACCTTGATTATCATACACATTGTGAAGAGAGTGGTCACTTTGGATGGGCTATTACCAGCAGGAGAGTGAGTTTGTGGGGGGGGAGGGTATGAGAACCTGGATTTGTGCTGGAAATGGCCCAACTTGATGATCACTTTAGATAAGCTATTACCAGCAGGACAGTGGGGCGGGAGGAGGTATTGTTTCATGGTCTCTGTGTGTATATAATGTCTTCTGCAGTTTCCACGGTATGCATCCGATGAAGTAAGCTGTAGCTCATGAAAGCTCATGCTCAAATAAATTGGTTAGTCTCTAAGGTGCCACAAGTACTCCTTTTCTTTTTGCGAATACAGACTAACACGGCTGTTACTCTGAAACCTCTAAATAGATATTTTTTTGCATTAAACTATGTGTTGCAAATGTTTGCCACCCAGAGAGTCATAGAGTTAAAGGTCAGAAGACACTACAAGATCATCTAGTCTGACCTCTTCTACATCACAGGCCACTAACACCCTCCAACAACTGAAATTAAGACCCAAGTATTACAGCCCACAGGAGCCTAACTACTGTGTACCACAGGTAGAGAATAGAAGACACCGAGGAGCACCAATGCCTGAGGCCCCTGCAATGGGTTATACCCAAATAATCCTAGTAAGTGATCCACACCCATACACTTGCAGAGAGAGGTTAAAACACCCAAAGGTCACTGCCAATCTGGCCTGCAGGGGAAAATTCTTTCCCGATCTGGCGTATGGCAATCAGAGAGGCAGTGTGGTCTAATGGCTTGAACATAGGAATAGAATCTTATCTAGCTCTGCCATAGGATTCTAGTATGACCTTGGACAAGTCCGATCATCTCTCTGTGCCTCAAGGTTCTCCAGCTATAAAAGGAGAGCAATAATATTTTTTGCCTACCTCCCAGGGGAGTTGTGGTGGTGTATTAGGTGGTGTTTTTGTAAAGTGCTCTTAGGAAGTGAAGCACTGAATGAGTGCTAAGTGTTATAGCTGCAGTATAAAGCTTAATCGGAATCCATGAAAAGCTAGTTACTGATAAGTTCTGTTCTTTAAGTCAGCTCAGGTAGAAGATGTGTACTGGAGAGTCCACTGTGTGCTAGCAGTGTATCTTATGGAATATGCTCAGTTTTCTCCCGATTGCCAAGGTGACTTTCAAAGCCTGCTTTACATATATAGTCTTCCCCCTGCATGTTGTTGGCTGCATCAGTGGCACTAACTATCTTTCTTCCTAAAGCCGTAACTGAAAAGATTTCTAGCTATGCTGTTGAGTAAAAGAGCCTGTCAGGGTTAATGGCTCTGAATTCTGACTTGCCTTTTCATGTCTATTTGTAGTGTTTATTCAGTATATTACATGTTTTAAAAACAAACCTTCAGCCATTTTCCTTACAAGTGCAAACTACCCCTCCCTCCGCCCCCTCTCCAACAGTAGACCTGGGGCAGTTAAGCAACTGTCTCTTACAAGATCACCTGCATGCTGCCCTGGCACCATTCTAATTTAATAATGTAGCTGACAACCCTGTGGTAATAAGGTGGCAGGTGCACTATACTGGAAATGACTCTAGTATCTTGCAAAGCGGCTCCACTCACCTTGCTCCCAAGAAACTCTGGTACACACCAGTTCTGAAACATTAGCTAAAAACACTCTCTGTGAAGTTGAGCAGGTTGTCTTGCTAATGTGAGATTTGCACATCCTGTACTTCTCGGAAAGAGCTTAGGGCTTGTCTGTTTGGAAAGTTAGCATGGAATTAGGTAGGGTGTGAATTTAAATCTATTACATAGCATACATTGCAAAAAGGCACTTATTGTGGAATGGGTGTCTACATGGGGAGTTAGTGCACAATAGTTATTCTGCTTTAAATTCACACCCTACCATATTTCACACTAACTTTCCCATGTAGGCAAGCCCTTACGTAGCAATCCTCCAAATATCGGGAGCATAGATTAATATTACAGGGGTGTGAGAGCCACACAGAGCAGCCTTCTTCTAAGATGGGTCAGCATCTCTTTTACTGATCTGGCCAGCTGAAGCTCCATTTTGACAGATCTGATTAGAGCTGGTGACTGCTACATGACTTTTGCCAGGTGGAATCTATAACCTCCTGTTGGAGCAGTCTGCTGGTTAGTTACATCTTCTCCAGTGTCTACTGTTTGCCTGGCACATCAGCAATAAAACACTGTTAGCTCCAACTTACAAGCCAGAAACAAATGTGTTAATGCTTTGTCCTTCTCTGAGTCAGCATATATAAGTATCAAAGAGTGCTTAACAAATGTCAGTGAATTAATCATCACAACACCTGTGGAAGCTAAATATTGCCCTTGTTGGAGGGGGAAAGTGGGGCACAGGGGGGGTTAAGGGTCTTCCTGAAGGCCACCCATTGTGTCTGGGGCAGAACCAGAAATAGAACCTAGAGTCCTTGACACCTTGTTCTATGCAGTAACCACTAACCCAGCACTTCTCAGTCAGTAGGATGCAATGTGGGAAGTGGGTACCAAAGGAGTAAAGTTGCATGAGCAATGAAATCCTGCAGGCACTCCCTCTCCCATCTTGCTGCCGCCTTTGCCACCACCACCTTGGCTCTGTGCTTTCACTGATTCCTACCCAATCATACAACGATCTGTCTTTGCTCTCTTCTTCCCTCACACCACCCATTGCTCTGCACTAGGGCTCAGAAATGCATTTGCAAGGAACTGTAGAGCCAATTCTGCAACCACTGAAAGTATTATTCTCCTGCACCTGAACAGGCAACAAGCACCCCATTCCACTCCAGCAGACTGATACTCCACCCCCAAAGCAACAGCTCCCAATACTCTATCGACATTTTCCACAACGCTCAAGCTTCAGCACCCA